AGAGAAGATGGCGGCCACAACTGAGTGTAACAGTGTTTGTAGCAGTGCAAAGGAGAAGGTCGCAGAGTGTTGGTACTTTGTGCTGCAGCAACACGGGGCGAGAGGGATGATCTTCAACATAAAAGAGATTGCAGACAGTTTGGTGTGGCAAAAAAACAACATCATTATGTAAGAAATCCTTAACATCAGTCATGGCATGGACCATGATGTCGTTATCCAACAACTCCCAATGGTCTGGATATGTACAATCGCCATGTAATGGCCAGGTCCGTGCACAATGCAGGCAGAGATGTGGGATGGAGGATTAAACCACTCACCTGCTCGAGCATTGTGTAGTTCAAGTTGGCGGTCCTTCATTGCTACTTGTAGAACAACAATGGTAAAGCCTGTTTCCCTAGTATAATTACAATCCTCTGGCTGTAGGTGGGGGAGATCAGCATCAAGTTGAAGGGCGATTGCAAGGAAGTCTGATGGTGTATAAAACGGGCGGTGGAGAATGTGAAGACATATATTAGCAGTCAGACCACAAAGATTGGTGAGGATCTCAGGTTGGTGTGTCGGATGCTGGCCAAAAATTTCAGATCACCCAGTTGGTGTTGCAATCCCAAAATGCATTGGGTTGTTTCCTGGTCAATCATTTGCAGATCACCCATGTGGTATGTGCGTCGTGGGGCACAAATGTGTGGCTCATCCAAACGATGCTGGTCAGACATTTGCAGATCCCCCATGTGGTCTACGCCTTGTGGGGTTAACTGCAATCCGAGCAGATCATGTTCCAAACCCTCAACGTTTGGGGCCGCATCCTGAGTAGGGACTGTCCTTGGAATCGGGAGTGTACTCTGGACAGAGACCACATCCTGTTGTATAGGTGAGTCATGAATATCTTACGTTGAAGGGCATAAAACATGGTGTTGTGGCTGCCTGCAGGCAGCTGGACTGTCTACAAGAGGCATAGGAGCGGATACTGTTGTTTGGAACAAAGGAACTGCAAAAACTTGTGGAGCCGACATAGAGAGAATTGGGGCAGGCAAAGAAACAGGTTGCTGATCCCCAGACAAGTGACGACGCCACGCATGTCGTCGACGATGAACATTTCCCTGGCAAAGAAGGTGGAATGATGGGAACAATGGAAACCAGAGAGTCTGTTCGCAAGCGAGATCGTGGAGGAGATGGGGGTGGCCAAGAGGATATGCATCCATCTGCGGCCAAGCACAAAAAGAGATGAAAGGGGGTGGATAGGGCAAGATTTCGAAACAAAGGACGTGAGTGTCGAAGAGACTGTGATGTTCTTTGTGCTGGAGATGCAGCAAAGGAAGTTGTAGCAGCAAAAAGTAGAGTACGGGGAATTCAAGCAGTAGAAACTGCAGCAGTGGAAGCCGCTGCAGTGGAAGCCGCAACAATGGAGGCTGCAGCAGTGGAAACCGCAACATTGGAAACCGCAGCATTGGAAACCACAACGGTGGAAACTGCAGTAGCAGAAACTGCCTAAGTGAAAATTGGAGTTGTAGAAATTGCAATGGTGGAAATTGCAGCTGTGGAAACCGCAGCAGTGGAAACTGTTGTAGTGGAAACTGCAGTAGCAGCAAATGAGCAAGCACTAGCGATGTGGACGTCAGGAAGAAAGTGGATGATGTAGGGACCATCGCAATATGTGTCGGAACCACTAAGAGAGACGTGTCACATGCGCAAGATAGCAACGTTGGCGGGAGCATATGTAGCAAGTCCACCCCTTAGCAAGGGTTGGTCAGGAATGCCCATGAGAAAGCATGCGACGAGTAAGTGTTGTTCCCGCCGTTCGGAAGTCCTGCCAATTGTTACAAATTTGTTCAAATTTGGTCAATCGTCTAGTAAACATACCCACCGGTTGATTGGAAGGGATGTTGGAGGTCGCACTTGGATAATGAATGACAGGGAAATCCCAAACAACGACTTTATCAAACACACTCATGCGAAGCGAGCCATCAGAACAAAACCGTAGATGCATACCTAAAAAGGTTCACGAACCATCTGTCGTTGTAGTCTCCTTTTACTCAAGCCCACAGTGCTCTGGAGGAGGAGGCAATGCCCCCATGAAAGAACATCATCAATGAGGCGATACGTGAAGGAGTGTTGTTGAGCAGCTTGAAGATCATGTTGACGAAGGTCATCAACAAAGTGTGCTTCATCCCAATACAGCGCCATATTAGAAATTTATGGGCCATCATTTGTTCTTATTGGAATACTGATAATTTGCTTCCGTACAAAAAAAAATTTTGTACAACAAAGCGAAGAAGTTGGAGAATCTGAGAAACGAAAAGAGTGTCCGGGCCTGAATCGGTTGTCCACTGGCCACAACGAGGTCCTCGAATAACCATGTAAAGGGCACAACAACGCGAATGTGTGTGAGTATGCCGAAGGGCATAAACATGGGCTTCATGAACAACTTTTGCCACGTTATTCAGAATGCGGTCATGAGGGAGGTTGTTGTACATTGTGGTAAAACCAACAGTATGAGAAAAGGCCACAAACAGACGATGCATTGTTTTTCAGGTCAATCGCCACTTCATCGACACTTTGAACGATTCAGCACCGTCGAACACCAACCCATTGATCGAGCTCAGTATCTTTCTTACAAAGAGTAGAGATTACTCCTTGCAAAGCAACACTGAGATACGACGAAGTAGTCGTTGTGCTAGCCAATGGTTTGTGAGGAGGCCGTTCATGAATAGTGCGAATTGTTGGACGAGGGTGAGCGTGATGGGGAACAACATTGTTATTTTGTGTTCTGACACCAAGAATGTTGTGAAGAGCTGGAGGAGATTTGTGAGCTTTGAGCACGTAGTAAAGGTAAGGTAGGGTATCAATGTGGGTGTAGCCCCAATGGTGATTCCATAGTGCATGGCGGTCAAGGACATCATCAACAGATTCATGAGGACGAGTATAAGTGGGACTGTTCAAATGGGTTCAAAGATAAAACGAATACCAATTCTTGCAACAAATTGTCAAATTGTGCGAATTTTTGTCCACAGGGATAACGACAAAGTGTTGTTGAGGATGGCACAAGGAGGCATGTGTAGAACGAAGTGAACGTGGTTGGCTCACATGATTGGAGAACGAGGCTGCATTGGATTGACAATGTGCAAGGATTGCAGAACGCCATTTGTTCAACTTCTGAGAAGGAGAGAAGAAAGAAGTAGATCGAGAATGCCCGACCAGCAACCTTTTGTAATTGGCGATGTACTATTCAAGTCCAATTGCCAGTGTCTGGAGCAAATCGGCAGTTTCCCCATTCAGCGATGATATTGTAGTCAACAGACACAATATGGCCATCCACAAGATCAGCACAATGTGAAAAGGCTATGCGGCATTTGCAACTTGAGGAGTCGGGTAAGGTCATGCCAGGAGTAACGCTCAAGGCCACATCAGTGAAGTTGCAAAACTGGAAACGCGTGGGTGGCATCTGTTTGTCACATACACGAACATGTGTGGTTGCTTGAGGATCAGGGTGCAATGCAACTATTTCCGGCAGTTGTAACACATGGCGCAAGTTTGTAGCACGAACTAACTCATGCACATGTACGACCTTGATGTGGTCACTAAATGGGTCACGAGGCTATGCTCTGTAATGTTGGCGAGTATGCTGGGATTTTCGAATGAGGCATTCGAGCTCTCGAATGTGTGCTGTCATGTCCGCATTGGAGACATTCTTGTAAAGCCATTGCAAAAGTCGTACCCTCCATGCTGGTGTCGCTTGCTCAATATCACCCTTGACATGATACCAATTACTTGAAGCAGCTTCCGTGAGAAGGCAATGCAGTGAGGTACAAATTAGAAGTTCGAGACCCGAATGAAGGTCAATAACAAATGACCTAACCGAGGTGTTGGCAAAAGACGTAAACAATGAGGGGGTGTCGGTAAAAGAGGTGTAGTATGAGAGCCAACGGGTGTTGGTAAGAGGGTTGTTGTTTGAGAAGGATCAGTCGATGCAGGAACGGATGGAGCAGCAATAGATGTGATAGGGAGGGAAACAGGAGGAGCTGAGGCATGAGGAGGTCGAGGGGGCTGAGGAGCAACGGGACGAGGGCCCATGTGTATCCAGGGTGGAAGTGTCGTCAGGGAGAGGACAGTCTACTGTAGCCATTGGAAGGACTGCACTGAAACCGACGGGGTGAAGAATTCGAAGTTTCTGAACCCAGAAACCCTCACGGGGCGTAGCAGCCTGCTGAAAGAGGGCATGATCATTAAGGCCTTCAGGCGTATGATAAAGGCTAGGATCGATGCATTCCAAGGGCCAAGCCACAAAATTGAATGCTGGTTGCCCACACATTGCATGGTAGAGATGACAATGGCGATGGTGAAAAGCAGTAGAAGAGTTGTGTATGCCAATGCTCTTGCATAAATCACTCCTCAGACAGTGATGGGGTCCATACCTGGTTCAAGGAGTTGTTGATCAACACCTCACAGTTGCAACTCAAGTCGCTCTGCCTGCACAACACTGTTAAGATGACAGAGTTGTTTCTTGTGCCAACCTCCTGCAGAATACAAGTTATTATTCCACTCCAGGTGTGCATGCCAATCTACGGGATGACAAACAGATGCCTGGTGGTTTGACAAATGAGCACGACCAATATGCCGCACTTGATCAGTTACGGACCTCAAACTTAAACTAAGGTTATATGCCTGCTGTGTGGGGTCTGGAAAATAAACAGAGAGAGTCGGGAAAGAACGAGATTCCGGGTAAGGAGAAAAAGCTGGGCAACATGTTGGGTACATCCACTGCTGATTATCATCTGTGTGTTTGATGTTAGTCATACGTCTTTGCGAAAGTTAGTCTTGAAGGAGTTCCTATGCTGAACACTATGTAATTGTCACATGAAGATTCACACAAGAGAACGAGGAAGACCCTTCGGGAGAGAGTATTCATGAATCCATGGTGTTTATCTGGTGACTGTACCATGGAAGTGTTGCAATGATGAGCCACTACTCTCACTTCATGCTCGACCCTAGGATAATTCCATTACCTGTTTTGAAGCACTGATTCCTCCATAGAGCTTGGCTACTCTTATTGCCTCATCCCACATGTTGTTCACTCTGTACATCTGTCTTGTCCCAGGAAAGCCAAAGAGGCAAACAGAACCAGCACCAGGAAGACATGACACCCACAGCACACACAAATCCAGAGTGTAAGTGAATTCACTGATCTATGCCATGTTCTGATAGCTCCAATCCTCAGACCTGTTGGCGGCTGGGTTGGCCGCCAGCAGAAATGCACCATGCCTTCGGCATCGTGTCTGAAACGATACCTGCCATCTTGACAATATTCTGTTGGTTTACCAGGTTATGCATGGGCTCCTTCACTGCATCACTTATCACAGAGATTCCAGTGTCTGACTCTTTTCATCTTCTGATGCTGAAACCTCTGTTATGCGAGTTCTCAATGAAGCTACTCTGCAAGGGTTACCTGGGCTCACCTGCCGGGATCAGCTGGGCAAGCCAGAAAATGAGCTCTTGTTTTTTTTTTGTTTTTTTTTTTATAGGAATTTTACCACAAAGAATGCTCCTTTCTATTGGTGGGGAGCGTCACTTGCTGGGAAACTAGCCCAGCGTCGCTTTGAAGAAAATAGTCATTACATCACTTGATTACACATAGTGCTTCCCCACGTTACGGCCTGGGGAAGCCTGACAGCATTGATTACTTCTCTGGGAAGGATTGGCTGTCAGTTACGCCCATCCAGAGTTTGAACCAATCCCCATCCCTCTCGACTATCTACCCCTGCCAACAAAACATTCCTGAAACCAGACCTTTCCTTTTCCTATTGCCTAACCTATTGATCCTCTATTCTGAAGCTCGAAGTGTCAGCTATACTTCTAACTCCTTGGGGGCTGACCCTATCTGATTCTCCGCCCCTGCCCACCATACAAATTGAAATATCTGTCCTTCAATGTTCGTCAACTTGCCTCCTCCTAATACTCTTCTTACGAAGGCTTCCCTTATCTCCTTCCCTTTTTCAGGGTGGTGTCTTACCTGCCTCCAGGTCCTTTCCATCGCACCCTGTCCTCTGTCTCCGACTTCTTTTTTCTTAACCAAAGCTGTCGGGGACCTCACAATTCAACCCGGAGTTATCCTGGCAGCATTAGCCAGTTCCGCTTATGATGTGAGCAGAAAAACAATTTCCCGAAGAATCAAGACTCGATGACTTGAAACCCCTGCCCTCTGGCCTCTCAGTTTAAAGCTGTCTGAATCACTGGAACCCCTAGCCAGAGTACTCTTTCTTGCAACCCTCCTCTAGGCGCTCCCTTTTCCTGCCATCACCCTAGCGAACCCTCCCCAGCTACTATCTGGCCCCCTGTTGCCTCCCCTCTATTCCCTCCTCCTGTGGCGATCCTATGATTCAGTTGCCCCTTAAACCCTAAACCCTCGTCTTTGTTTCTGGACTGGTCTCCCCTTCCATGGTATTGCCTAAGCAGAGCCTGCTTTCGCCTTGCTCTATTCATCCTAGTCCAAATCTACTTGGCTCTTTATGCTTGGTTGACTGAGTCCTCTCCCAGTGCCCACCATGTCCATTTCAGTCCCTTTTCCTGCAGCTCTGCCACTTTACCTTGGCCAATTACATTGTTGTTGCAGGCCTCTCTTATCTTCTGGGCCTTGTCCGGAGCTGCTTCCATTTTTTTGCGTGTTGTCCACCTTTGTGCCATGATCTCAGTTCTTAATAGCATTCTAAGTTCTGCCCTTGCCTCACTTTTATGCCTCGCCTGTCTGTCGAGTGTGGCCTGGCATCTACTTTTCCAGATAATCCACAGCCCATGTTGGTGGAGTTTCTGGTAGCAGTTGTATTCGAACTTCGTCCATGTGTGAGGCGTGCGTCTCCCCAATAACACTGAGATTTCATTGGTAGGAAACGGGTTCTTGCTCACTCTTTGCCACAATGCCTAACTCTTGTCACACCTGTTCTGCCTTTGTGCAATTCAGCAGGCAGTGGCTTACTGTTTCCTTGAGTCCATCTTTGCAGATGAGACAGACTTCCTTTTTCGGGCTCCTATCCTTATGTCCCTCCTGTTGTTGAGCCAGGCGTTCACTGGTAGCACTAGATAGAAGCTTCGTCACTGCATGCTCCTTATTTTTCCCAGTCGTATCACCCCCAGCCTTGTCCATGGAAATCCTTGTATCTGCCCTGGAGTGGTGCCCATCTGCTTTTGCCACATTTGCTGCAACTGGACATCTGGTGCTTGAGAGCGCTTCCTTAGTTTGTAGCCCATGTGTATAGTATACTGGAGGATATTCGCTCTCAATGCTATTCTTTGTGATGTGCCCCACAGGCTCCATGCCCATTCCACCGGGTCTACTTCCAGATTATCTACGGTAAGTTCATAACTGTTGGGCAGTGAATGATAAACTCGTCTGTTTCAACCACTCTGACTTTCCTGACCCTTGCCTTCTGAATCGAGACCGGTGTCCTGGAGTTCTTTAGTAGTAGACTTGTTGCTGCCCCTGGTTCTATGATGTTGTACATGTCCGTGCTTAGCGAGCTCTCCTCTGGTCCCGCCAGTCCCCATACTTGAAATGCCGTTGTTGGTGGTGTCTCGTCTGCCCATGTTGCCCACTCTCCCCTTGTCCAATATGGATCCTGCTGCAGTAGGGTGATCCAATTCTCTGGTACCGCGATCAGCACCTCATCTTGGTTTTCAAACATCTTGTGACTTCCCTTCATTTCACCTCTTAATTCTCTTGCTGTTTTCCACCGCTTTTCCATCTCATTCCATAAGTGTTTCGCCTGTCACACTTCGTGGCTCCACCCAGTTTCCCCAACGGGAGTCTGTTCCTGTCAGTGTTCTTGGCTTCCCCCGTTTGTCTGTCAACCATTGGTTGCAAAATAGTGGCTGTCTCACACCTCTTCCCTGGTCCGTGGCTTATAAGCCTTTGCTGGAAAGATCTCCTCCAATTGTTGCCAGTAGTCTTGCTGCGCTGTCGGATCTTCCATGTTGTCAGAGGCCCCAGGGTGACTGCTGTTCTTGGCCCAAGATTTGCTCATTACCCAGAAGGGCCAGAGGCCCAGAACAATCCTTTTTTTTTTTTTTCTTTTTTTCTTTTTTACAAAAGGACAGAACCACAAGGTTCTGGCTCCTACCATTCTGGGGAGCAACAGTCCGGTTCCTATTCCCCCGGCAAGTCAATGATGAGTACAATGAGGATACACCTACGCTCCTCCCCATTATGGTTGGGAGGTCCGAGTGGACGGCATTGATTACTTCCTTTTTGGAAGGATGTACCACCCCTCACCCCTGCCTAAGTTAGCCTCCTTGACTTAGGACCTGACACTGTAGGTAGGCTGGCTTCTGTTACTTTTGTTTGTGGTTTGTGGCGTATCTGCGTAGGTCTTGATTAGCGTGCTCCTCTCAGCTGGTCGGCTGTCAGACCCGATTTAAGCACTGAAGACATTGGCCAGACTCATTTACTGTTGGTTTCGCTAAGTAGATAAGACCTTAGGGGTTTCAGCATTGATAATGTTTGAATTATCTGTGAGTCCGAAGTTATAGATAGCCTCTCAGGCCTATGCCCTTCATGCTAAACCCTGACCCCTTACGCTCTCTCTACCTCAGTCCGTGTTTCTGGATTTTTCTAGTGCTGGAACTTCTGATGCGTCCTCCTTTGGTGGAAATCTGTATGGGCCGTGCTCTGTGGGGCTGTATTTGCTGTGATTCCTACTAAACCCTAAACCGTAGCTCCCGTAGTGAAAATCTGTGTGGGCCGTGCTCTTGTAGTTCGCCTCTGTTCTTGTTGGTATAGCCGTTTAGAATTGTTTCCTTGTTACAGTAGTTGGTCGTTCCCTATTTTGATTTCTCATTCTTTTTTTTTTTTTTTTTTTTTTCCCCGCTAGGTGTATTCTAACAGAATGTTCAGGGGCTCTTATGACTCTGTTGGAAGGACTCAAGTCTAATTACCCTAAATACCTAGTTTCTGTAACGGCTACCATCCTAAACCCTAAACCCTCGGTTATAATGTTGTCATGGTTCACCCATTGCAAGTGCAAGCATTAAGATGTGAGCTGTTCCTTATTCCTAGACCCTGAATCTTCTCAGGAGGTTAATCCTAGTGGTCTAATGATTCTTTGTCCTAGCCTACTTCCTGTTTCTCGATGAGTGCCATTCTTATTTTACCAAGCCTAGTCCAACTGATTGTGGTATTGCCAGAATTGGTGTCGACAGGTGCTGTGCTTGGTCCTTCTGGTCTAATCGTTCAGTTGCCCATGGGATGGACTCCTGATCTTTATTCTCTCCTTGCTGCCTGTTCATTCTGAGTCCTTGCTCTAGGGTGTCCCTTTCCGTCCTAATATTTACAGTGGCTGTATGATGGGATATAGAGTGTTCTACGTGCTGGTCTAGTACTCTCCTGTGGCCCTTAGGCTCTAAACCCTCTTCATGCTGTGTTTCCCTGAAAGAGATGAATGAGGCCGGCTGTACGCTTTTCACCACTCCAGGTCCATCGGAGTTTCCCCGTCCTCTTCTGTCATTGGGCTGGCTGTGGACCACCAGTCTGTAAAGTGGAGGGTTTTTCCCGTTAGCCGTGCTAGTAAACCTCCCTTTAGCCATGTCTTCTCAAATTCCCTTTGTAGCTTGGCCTTCCTATGTCCTTCCCCTTCCTTCTCCATCCTATTCCGGGTTTTCTTCCATTCCGCTCTGACTCCTGTCTCCATCAGTACTTTCGCCTCTTCCCACGATTCATTTGCAATCAGACTCGTTCTCATTCACACTTTTCATGCATGTAAACAGTAGCGCAGCAAACTGGTGACATGCGCCCACTCAAAACTCAGAGATATGGCATCCAGATACGAGTTCACTTTCAATTGGCCATGGCGACTCAGCGCCCAAACAACTCACTGTTCACATACACCGGATCACCCTGGATATCCCACACGCGACTCTCTGAACTCTCACACACACACACACACACTTGCTACACACTAACTCTGGCTATGGTGGCTATGGCCGCAACTACCCTATCGCTATGCTACGCTCCTTCTCTCTCGCCCACTTCTGCTCCGGGCTCACTGCAGACCTCCTTGCACAAGTCACTGTGGCAGCGCTTCCACATGGCTCACGC